GGGGGATGCCTGGTCGGCGAGAACCCGGCACGGAACCCTCCGGCGTTGTAGGCGGGTGTGGGAAGCGTTCCCCGTTCTCCTTTTATTTTATTTTGATCGGTCTCCTCGACGCTCTTTCTCGGTAGCTGGACTTTCTTTCTATCATTTTGTTTCTCTTCCGAGTGGTTTTTGTACCCTTTTTTTTTCTGTTTCTTCGTGGGGTCGTGTATGCCGGGTTTTGAGACCACGGGCTCCCAATTTCTTTTTCTTTTTTTTCTTTTTTTCTAGAGCTAATGTGAGAAACAACAACAACAACAACATGTCAAGAATCACGGTGGCATGCGTTCGAAGGAAGATCGAAAGCGTGTCGACCACGCACCACGCGGCACGCTTCACGGAAGTGAAGGCGATAGATGGTGCGGTGTCAAGATGTCGAAACTCGGTCTCGATGATGCATGCGCACAACCGGCACTTGGCCAGAGAGTTGTGATATATATCACGGACAGAACCGAAGGCCGGCTACAGCGGTTCGAGTAGCCGCGTGTCGCCGACACGCCGTCGCAACTTCGACGGAGCGATTCCCACCCCCACTCTCACCCTACTCCCTTCACGCTTTCCCCAACCTACGGCAACATCTACGTCACCGCCGCCCCCGGCATCCCGCATCATCCGCTGGAGGGGCGCTACCAAGCTTATTTCGTTAACCGGAAGATAAGTCCTCGGCAGCCTTGTCTCGGTTGCAACTTCGCCGGGTTCCAGGCCGACATGTCCTTGGCTTCTTCTTCTGCCGAGGATGGACAAAGAAATGTCGCACGCAGGGGCGATGGGCGGTGTTGCCCGAAGCGACCCGGGGTCTGGCGGGGCGCGCCTTGAAACGTCGCTTGTGTTGCCGCCGGCGTCCCTTCGTCTACGGCTACCGCCACCACTGCCACCGCCAGCTCTTCTGCCGCCGCCGCCGCCGCCGCTATCAAGACCACTGCCGCCGCCAGACGAAGCCAGCGGCAAGGGCGCGGAAGAAGAAACTAGGTAAGGCAGACGATGCCCATGCTGGCGGTCCATTCCGCTTCCACCAGGACGGGCCCCGGACGATGCCAGCGCCGCCGACATCGCTGCTTCTGCTGCAGATGCCGTCAACGACATGACCGCTGAAGCCCCCCCCGCCACCACCACCGGTCCAACGGGGCGGGTTACGTCTGGTGGTATCGCCGACAGTGACGGCGACAAGAGCGATAACCGCATCATTGGAGATGGGCGATGGATGCCTCCTAGACGCCGAGGGGGCCCCATCGTCACCACCCGCCGCGCGCCCGGGTGGCGTCCTGGCCGTCGTCGACCTCCCTGCTGCTGCCAGTTTCCTCCTACTCTTCGATCCACCCGTTGTGCTGCTCCCGCGTTCTCCCCCCGTCGTCGTCGATGCCACTGCTGCTGATGTTGCTCCTGCCGTCGCTGGTGCTGGTGCTGCTGCCGCTGCTGCAGTGCGTTCATATTCTCCGGCACCACCCGCGCCGTGTTTCGTCGGGGAGGCAACAGGTGCGACAGGGCCTCGCCCTGCCCAGCAGGTGGACAGGTGGCGCGAACAATACCTCCTTCTCCCGCCGCCGTCGCCACCGCAGCCGTCGAACGTGCGCTATGGTTGACTACAAGACCGCCGGCACCGCGTGTGCCATCATGACCGGAGGGTTGTCCGTGGTCTGAGACCGCCCCTACAGGTGGCGTCGCCTGGGGCTCGGCCCTCGAGGCCCTCAAAGAGGCCGTGCTTTTTTCAACGACGACGCCTACCTGTGGCCTAAGACACCGCGCCCGTGACACGGCCACTCCGCCCGCCGCCGCCTCTGCAGCCCTCGCTATCACCCCCTTGGGTGAGGAGGAGCGTTCCGAGTGCGGCGGTCGCATGGATTCGGCACCCCCCACCTCGGCGCTGCTACCGATGATGCTGGTTGTTTCCGCTGCGCCCGCAGGGGGCTCGAAGAACCGGCCGCGCCCCTCCGCCTCTACCGCGGTCGCCGCCCCGGCCGACGGAGCGACCACCCCCATCGCCGGCGTTTCTAATGGATTGATACCCGGCGGGGTTTCGCAGGCTCCGGGAGGCTTGGTCCCGGCCCGCGTGGTCCCCTCGCCGCCGGTTTGCTTCTCCGAGTCGTTATCTTCCGACCAGGCCGTAGACCTACAGGCCTCGCAAGCTTCGGCGTGGCGAGGGTTCACCAGGGTGCACCGCGAGCACGCCCACGGCCGATCACTGAGATGGCCAGCAATAGCCGCCTCCCCGTCTTCCTCCTCCTCTTCCCCGTCAGTACCCCTCCCCACGCTAAATTGGCGAGGAGAGGGACGCTTGTACTGAGGTCCCTTCCCAGGGGTTGTCACGCTAATGTCTACGCCTGGTTCGGTTAAGAGTGTCGGTCCTCCGCTGCCCACTGGTGCCGGCGACACGGCAAGGGCCGCAGCTTCGTTTCCAGAAACTGATCCCATCTCGACACAAGCGCCATCTTCCCCGCCGCCGCCGCCGCCGTCACGGTGCGAGCGAGAGCCCGTCCCCGTTCCCGTCGGGGACCCTTCCCCTGCCGCCATCATTGCGGCATTCTTGGCGCGAGCGTCGGCCAAGACTGCCGTCGCCGCCTTGGAAGAACTCAGGGCTTCCGCCAGGAGGGCGTCAAACCTACCCCCGCTCTTCCCGGGATCGAGGTGGCCGTTGAATCTCCCGCTGGGTTCCGCACCGCCGACCACGCTGCCCACAGGGCCCAGATCAGTCGCTCCTACCCCTCCTTTCCCCCCACCCGCAACCACGGTCGCGATTGCTTGCGCTTCTTCCCTCTTCGTGGCGGCTGAGATCGCGGCGTCGCAGCCCCCCCCCGGGCGGCGGTGGGCCTCGGCGTCCCCCCGGGGCACGAGACCGCAGCACCGGCCGCACCGCTCGGTCCTCGCGGCGCAGAGCGTCTCGTGATCGCCGGCGGCACCGACTGTCCGGAAGGAGAGCCCGCAGTACGCGCAGGTGAACGGCGGCACCGGACTTGCTGCTGCCGCCGCCGCCGCCGCCGCGGATTCTCTTGCAGCGGCGTCCTGCTTCGCCGCCGCCGGCCGCGGCTGCTCGGCGGCTGCTACCGGTGGCGCGTCGTTGGGAGCGGGGACGGCGCCGCCGCGTCTTGATCGTCGTCCGTCTGTTGACGAGGAGGGGCGGCAGCGCAACGCGTGGAGCTGTTGGTTCCCCGCGGGGACGAGCTTCCCGCAGGAACCGCAGGTGGAGGTCACCATCGCCGCCGCAGCCGCTGGAGCCTCCGTCAACCTCACGCCCGCAAGACCACCGTCGCCGCCGGATGACCGCTGACCTCTCGATGAATCCGTTTCTGGCGCGCTACCGTCCCCTCTGATCCCTATCGCCAATGATGCCGTCGACGCGACCAGTGCTCCTGTGCCGAGGACCCTCCCCTCCACAGCTTCTCGCGCCTCGTTGGTCCCTTGAGGCGAGAACGCGGATTTCCTGGAAACCCCAAGCCTGTCGACGACGACCCGTCGTGGACAGCTGTCTTCGCTTCCTCTGCTTGATTCCACCGCTTCCTTGACAAAACGTCTCCCTACGCTGCTGCCCCGCCGGGGCTCTACGTCCTCTTCGCTGTAGCTTCGAATCCCCACCGCCCGAGCTTGCGCTCTTGCTGCTGACGGTGCCTCCCCTCCCTCTGGTGATTGGTCCTCTCGACCAGAGGATGCCACTCTGTTGCCGGGGTTCGGGGCCGCTGTCGCCATGCCCCCTGACAGTGACATGCCCTTTCCGGAGAAGGGCTGACGCTTTATTACCCTTGAAGAATACCTCGACGAGGGAGGGACGGGAGGCTTTATCCCCAGGTGACCTGCACGCAGAAAAAAAAAAGAAACGTATCGGCGTCGTTTTGAGCGTACAACAGTGGAATCGTTGTCGTTTGGGGTGCCGGGAGGGGCGAGGGAGACAATTCCGTGCGTGTAGGGAGGAAGTACGGATCAAGCGATGAAAGTGCTGCAAGGCCATGCGCATCTACTTTGTCGGGGGATCCGGGTGGGTGGGAAGCAGGTAACGTACCCGACGGCTGTCGGTGCCACGCACGCAGCAGACACGTACGTAGTCCAGACTCCCTCTAGGAGAGACCGACTTCCAGGTCGGGGGGTAAAACCAGGCTGTCTCGGTTCTCTAAAGAATCGTATATTCGGGCCCTACTCTCCTCACCCGCTCTCCACAGCGACGGCTCCAACCCCGAACCCGCCGAGCAATCGTCGCTGCTGCTCCTCTTCGCCGTGGCGGGTGCCGGAAGGGACAGAACCCGCCCGACACCGCTCTCCACTGAATCTTCCTTGTCGGCGAAGACTTGGTCCGACGACGACGACGGCGGCGGCGGCCGTGGGGCTAACGACGAAGACGCCGGTGTCGGGAAACGCGCGGGGTCCCGCGATACTTCCCCGATCGAAGCACTTCCCTCGTCCGCAGGGCCCCGTCGTGTCGCGTTGTGTCCGTTTCCTTCGGTGCCGCTGTGCGGAGCGGGCGAAGGTGGTAACGGGGCGTGGGGCGAGCAGAACTCCACCTCGAGGTCTAGGTCTCCCAGGAGCCCCACTAGCCGCACCCTCCTCCCCGCCTCGCCACAGGGAGACCCGTTGTCATCGTGCCGTACCCTTCTCCCCGCATGGCGATAAGGCGACCCGTTGCCATCGTGGTGGTCATGGTTGCTGACGCCGTTGCGGGTGAAGTCGTCATTGTCGTTTTCGTGGCCGGTTCCAACGGGCGTTCCGTTCCTGGGAGGACGGAGCGCCGCTGACGGAGAATCTGGGCTGGGACTGTCTCCGCCGCCGTCGGAGACGACCGTCGCGGGGGAAGAGTCGAACGTCCTCAGCTCCACCACGTCGAGGAAAAAGTTGTCGCCCTCATGCTGAAAAACATTTCATGGTACATAAAATCATCGACAGCAGCAGGAAAAGGGGGTCCAGAATTTTACCGCCAAAATAGCTGTGTGTAGCGAAAAAATATTAGAAACAGCGCGAGGAAGAGCGTTTAGTACTATCGCAGGGCGTCTAGTGATTCCTTGGTTGTTTTTTGTACTACCCTAGGGTTCGATCACCTGGATTTTTTCCCCGAGGTTTCTGTTGCCTTAAAAATCGCTTCTAGAACAAGGTGATGAAGGGAGATGGCGACGAACGACTACGGCCAGAGACTGCTGTGGAGATGAAGCTGTTCTACCGCAATGTTTATGCAAAGGGAGTAAAGAGACACGCATTCCGTCCTGATTCACGGCAGGATTCACACCCATGACGCGGAGCCCCCAACAGCGGAAACAAATCCACCAACCGAGTAACTCTATGCTGTCACTCTTACCCGCAAGTATGCACGGCTTGAATTTGTTCGCTGCCTCATAAAGTGGCGTTTGCGAATGGTTCACTTCCCATCCCTCGCGTCAGTTGCTGAACACATCACAGCAACTTGCGGGTTTGGTGTATACCACCATGCCTGGTCTGTCAGACCCTGATCTGCCACGTTCCGTGGGGATTCTAGGATCGGTCGGTCCGATGGTTACCGTGGTACGCGATGGCGGTTTCAAGCAGCATACGTAAAGAGGTGACTCGCCTGCACAAGGATGGTGGCTCCTTCGGAAAGAACGGAGTATCGGCGAAGAGCGCCCTCCATCAAAGCCTTTGGTCCCTGTAAACGACGGACCAGTGTTGTTTTTGTTGTTGTTGTGGTTGTTGTCAACGCTGACGTATATGGTGGTTGTGTTTCGATAACACCTTACTGCAGAGCGGGCACAATATAATTGACGGGGGATGGGGCAAGAGGTAATTGTTTTTCAGTGGAACTATGGCCTGCTCTGGCCTTGCCAGCAGAGACAAACATTACCCTTTTTTGCATATCCAATCTAATAAAATCGGGGGAAAAGCGAAAGCGACGCCAATATTGTAGCCCATGGGCGCTCCCCCACTAAATCCCGGTCGGAAATGACGCCGGCAATTATTCCTACTCCAAATCTCGAGATTCAATGCTTTGTCGCGATCGCGGTGGACACGGGAACACCATGTGGACTGGGCATGGGCAGTAACATCGATATCGTGTACCGATGAGCTAAATGCAGAAGTCCTTGAGGTCGCAGTCTGGGTCTCAAGGGTAGAAGGTAGGGCGGTGACCCCAAGTGTTCCCCTTACCTGTTTGGCCGCCACGCCAAGAAACGATTCATCATGCGGCTTGAACCGGACGAAAGATCCCGCGGGTGGACGAAGGATGCTGCGGAGCTCCACCCGGCCTCCCTCTGACAGCAGCAAGTTCTGCATCAACCAATATGGTAGAAACACCTGGATGCGGTGGTAGGAGCGGTGCCGCGGCCGAACGGGGAGAACGATTACGAACGAGACAGCATCTGGCCTTTGAGTGTCCTGCTTCAGTTGACACCCCTTCTCCTACCGACAAGAGCCCGCTCTACGTGCGTCCTACAGCGGTGCAGGATAACCTATGCACGTTTTCTACAAAGACCTCAGCCTTCACACCGACCATTCGCCAGAATGAACAATGGGAGAGAAAGTCGCGGGGAGCGTGCGCGCAGGCCCGATCCGCCTCTGCTATTTTACACCAGGTGTGCTTCCTTTAGGGCACCTGATCTTCGGGTGCGCTGAACTCGAGCACCCCACAGAACTGGCAAGGGGATGGGCCGGTTGTGCCCATGATTCTCCTGGTGCCGACATCAGTATTTACCAATTTGAAGAGCAGAGGCAGCTTCAGGCGCAAGCGATGTGCCTGGAGATGCCCGCGCGCGACAGAACGACGGTGCAGAAAGGGATTACGTAGGAGCTTCCGTGTGCACGGAGTGTACGTGGAGATTGGTGTCTAGGTGCTCGTGGATGGCAGAGTCGAGACAACGGCATTTATCAACATGTCCATTCTCCTACGAAGGTAAACGCTGTGCGAACGGTGTTTGGAAACCTCAACGCGTGCATGCTCTCCAATCCCTGTACAAATATAGGCGTGCCCGACGTAGTCTACGTAAACCCGTAACAGTAGCCCAACCTCAAGGGCATTGTTTCTTGCCAGGAGTCTACTGCAGGAGGAGGACCACTAAAAAATAGGCTCCAGAGACAAGGGTCGCATCTGAAAGAAACTTCTGCGAAACGCCGTGAGCTTGCCTCATGAAATGCCGCCTGAGGCATGATGATCTTGTCGCCAAATTCGAGACCGGGTCGATCGAGGCACGCCATGGAGTGGCATTTGTACGTCTTGCAGAATATGCCCGACGGGGGTCTGGTAAGCCTGAGGGAAGCGCCATGATATGCCGCCGACGTAAGCCCAACGTTGAAGTCTCTCCCACGCGATGGCCGCACCATGTCCAAACAGGGTGCTCATCAAGCTCCTATTTGCACGGATCTCGCCCCTCTCCAGCCTTCTCCACTCAGTGGCGAGGTGGGCTGTGTATGTGTCTTGAATTTGCATTGACTGCACTGGACGTTAGGGCGAGCGTGTGTTCCTGAGAAGGCAGCAAACATTCATTCTTGGCGTCAAGTTCGTCGTCGGCCGGCCATTTGAGTGGGATGCCTTGCAAGATGCACGAAATGCGTGCTATAGCCATGGACAAGTTTTTCTCCTCCGAACAAAGTCTTCATATGGTCATCAACTCTTCAACAATCAAAGCATGTGTTCGAAAGTAGAAAGTGTGAAGAGGAATTGATTTCAAGGGCAGATATCACACCGACGCGGCATAGCTTTCACCTGGAGTCTACTGCTGCTGTGTCACTTTGCACTTGCCCTCGGCAGCGTTCATGGTATGCGTTCAACAGGATAAGGCACCGAATCATCAACAGTCCCACCTCCGCCTGGTGTGTCCATCAACATTCAGAGGTCCCTACACACCCCGCCTGAGGCATCCCTCAAAGAGGATACAATGCTTTGGAGCTGTTTGCAGTGTAGTAAGTGAAGTGGCAAGCTCGACAAGATCCGCGTCTCGACGTCTCGACGTCTCGACGAGAAATCCCCCCCAGAAAACTTGAGCGGTTTCAAAGATTCTTATTGGGGTTCTTAAAAAAAAAACTAACCCGAAAACAAATTGAATTTCAAATTCCCCCGCCACGAGCTGTTGAGACAGCAGTGTGGAGGCTTGCGAGAGAGAGAGAGGAAAAACATCGCGAATTCGCTGAGAGAGGGAAGGGTGACAGAGACACGCCTACCTACATATTAGAACAGCGAATTCGCTGCCTCGGCCTCTGTCGCTCTCCATCATGCCTGGAGCACAACAGCGATCAATGACCAGCTTCTTCGCTCCGAAAACAAGTACAGCAGGGACATTAACGACGAAAACAGCAACGAAGATGCCAGGAACAACTAGCATCACCGGCGCCAACAACGGCAGCTCGAAGCGCGCGTCGCCAGACAGCAGCAGTGATGCTGCAGCTGGAGCAGCAGCAGCGGGGGGTGGATTAGGGTCAGGCGAGCAGGCGGTGTCCAAGCGGCCGAAGATCAGCAGCAGCGAAGGTAGCTGTGAAGTGTGAAGGGAACGGCTCTCTTTGCTGTCATGCTAGAGTTCGGCCGGGAGATGGCTTCGGAGAATTCCACGCATGGCCATCATGTATGCATAGGTCTCAGCACCGACTTCGCTCCATCGCCTCTCATATGTTTTCGCTTTACTGTATTGTTGTGTGGGTGACTCTCGTCCGAGGCTTGTATGCGTATGGGCTCGCGAATCACAGAGGTTTTCAGGGTGTGTAAGATACCGTCATCCGTGCCTCTTCGGAACCGTGCCGTGGATAGATGTGACGGCGGGAGACCCAGCTCCCAAAAAGGGGACCACCCACCGCACGGTGTAGTAGACCAAATCCACCGCGGAGCAGTCGGAGACGGTGTTGAGAACGAGCAACTAGGAGCAGCAACCTGTTGTTGTCAGCTGGTTATTCTTCAAAATACGTGGGATTGTTTGACGATACTTGACACACGTCGTCTGGACACCCCCAGCAGGCAAATTCGCTGCCACCGATTCTCCCAACCGACGCGCTGCTGCGCGTGCTTGATGAGATTTCGGCGTGTTGCAATACACGCTCCCCGTGATGCCTCAATGTATGGCTGAGGTCTTCGGAAGCATTGGAACCGTTCTCCTATGTGATAGGATAGACCAGGTTATTGTGTAACTTTGGGGGGTGGTATTCAACGTTACTGCGTCATGAGTCGCGGCGCACACAGTGGTCCGAGTAACAAATGCACAAAAGGCGTGGAGGCACCCATCAACAGCATTTGCTGTATACCGAAAATGAGAACGAGCAACATGTCAATAGTCCTTTTGCCCGGCCCTACAATACACCACGTGTCGATTCTGAATGGTATTGGTATAGCCTCTTACACATGAACGTTGTCGTAGTCCTCCAGTTGTCAAGCCGAAGCCGTTCCACCTTGACCTCGGGCTTGCAGGCTCGCCTATCAAGGAAGAAGGGTGGGCGACGGCGCTGTCGAGGGAGACTTCCAAGCCGTACTTCAGCCGTCTACAGGCGTTCCTGGACAAGCAGTACGCCTCCAAGGTCATCTACCCGCCAAGGGACAAGCTGTTCAACGCCTTCGATTCATGCCCGCTGAGTAACGTCAAGGTGCGGGCCGTCCGCGTCTGTTCATCACGTGGTCGCGTCGAAGCGTAAAGTTTGGGGATGGGGATGTTGGCAGTACATTACGTGGGTTGTTGTGTATGGCCCCAGTGCGCCGAGGCCAAGGTTCAGTCCACGATCACCAAAATTTCCTAAGCGATGTGTTTTTCTAGGAGTCCTCGGCGGGACCCTGTGGACCATGCCGTTGTAGATGTTGTTCGAGGGGATGATGGTTGTCTGCGTGTACATCAAGTGGGCCTTTGAATCTTGGTACGGAAAAGCCCCAGGAAGGCGAGAAAAAGCATACCAAAAGTAGGCGATTGCGCGACTTGGCCGCATGGCGAGTGTTTATTTTGCACCTGTGATTTGCCGTCCTGTTGTCGCGAATTTTCGACAATCGTGTTTTTGTGCCAGACACTTGTACCGCCGATGCTGCCTTCACCTACACACCGACCACGTGACTCGACAGCACGTTTCGATTGTTTCGCCACTCATTGTTTTCATATTTGGCTGTGTGATTCGCTCTACCCGGTGCCGCTCTCTTGTCCTTCTTTCGACGGCGGGTGGCGATGACGCTGGGGTGTGGGGGGGCACACAGGTGGTGATTTTGGGGCAGGACCCTTACCACCAGCCCGGGCAGGCGCACGGCCTGGCTTTCTCGGTGATGAAGGGGGTCATGCAGCCGCCAAGCCTGCGGAACATGATCAAGGAGGCCGTGGTGAGTACCGTATATGACACAAGATAACACACCCCCTTGACCGATTTTCGAAGCTCGATCTCTCAACTGCAGGAATAGTCACAGCGCCAAAAACGGCGGCGTTGAAATCGTCTCGTCGAGAGCTTTTCGAAAATGTATCATTCCGTTTATGCATCCTCTTCGTCGTGGAGTAATCGAGCTTTGAAAATCGGTCCAGGGGGTGTGTTATCTTGTGTCATATACGGTAAAGTACAAAGTTGAAGTTGAAATTTCGACGCCCGTGCTGTGGTAGAGTTGCTGCACGTTCTCCAACGAACAGAACACACACCTGTTTTTGGACGATTTTGGAAATACTCCTTACGTGGCGAGCTGCTGCCGACCGCATGCTTGCGCATGTCAGTGGAGCTGAAAGGGAAATCCGAGAGCCGGAATTTGCTGTGAAGGTGGCTGTTCTAGATCGATGTTCCGTTTCTTCAGCGACTCAATGTAAAACAAACACGTTTTTTATGTTGTCCGCTTAGAGCTGCTGCGGCATCACGCCCACCAAGTCCGGGAACCTGGACAGCTGGTGCAGCCAGGGGGTCCTGCTGCTCAACACGGTTCTGAGCGTCGAGAGGTCCAAGGCTAACTCGCACAAGAACCAAGGGTACGCTTGTGGAACAGCTGCTCGTTGCTTCGTGCAATCCTATTTATTCAACATCGTCCGTGGCCTTCGTGTTAGCGTCTTTATCCTTGAAGCGGTTGGGGAGGATGTTCCCCGTCCTTTTTCCCCACCTCCTCTTAAGTATCCTTCGTGCTCCCGCTACGAACATGCGTCTTTTGCTGGTCAGCGCACCGCGCCCTATGAGAAGAAGCACCACGCTTCAAACAACCAGGTCAATTTGTACGAACTAAATTTTTTTTTTTTATCTCTCATCTCCCCTGTCCGCTATGGTAGTGGTAGTGTACCCGCATGAGAGAAGGAGCGCCACGCTTATTACCACCGACTCCATTTGTATACACTCCAAAATGTTTTGTTCGCTCTCCCTGCCTTGTTCTACACCTTCATCACCTCCCCGATGGATTTGGGATGTATTTTGGACCCGCCAGGTGGGAAACGTTTACGGACGCGGTGGTGCGGGAGCTAAACAAGGGGAACCGGCGGTTGGTCTTCCTGCTGTGGGGAAAGCCTTCCCAGGTGGGCGCTTGCTTCCGAAGCCGGGTCTTGCAGAAGCTTCGTGGTGTCATGACTTGCATTGGTGTAGCATTGTTGCACACGCCCATCTCAGCTTCCACATAGTTTTTCGTTCGTGTTGAATATCGGGATCGTGGTGCTTGTCCTTCCCTCTTTTGGGGTCAACCTTCCCGGGTGCGACTCTGCTCCCTCAAAGGCCGAGGATGTCATTATTTTTTTACCTGTAGGTACGTGGCTGAATAAGCGCTGGTTTGTTCGGTCTTTCGAAAGCCTCATGCAAGGCGGTCGTGTCGGCCGGTGTTAGTTTTTTTCGCTCGAAAGTACCGTTTCTTCCCCTGCGCTCGTGCAGGGTTTAAACCCGAAGGTGTTGGAAGATCAGCCTGCCACTGTTCGCAGAAGAAGCCGCCCTCCCGTGATCCTTCCCCTCCCCCACTCAACACTGCACCAAGAAGAGTTGTCAGGAATGCCGCGGATCCAAGTCACTTCCACCCGCCTTTTCGGCTTCCGTATTTTGTGTTTGCTGTTTTATCTGTCTGTGTGTTTGTCTGCCTACCTCCCTGCCTGTCCGTCTCCCTGTCTCTAATTCTGTTAATTCTGTTCATCTTTGTCATTCTGTCTGTGTTCCTGCTTTTCTCTCACTGCCTCCCTTCCCCCCCCCTGTCGATCGCAGAAAAAGGGTGCTCTGATAGACTCGTCCAAGCACCGCGTCATCACGTGCGCGCATCCTTCCCCCCTCTCGGCCACGAGGAAGCCGGACCCGTTCATCGGATCGGAGTGCTTCAAGAAGGCCAACGATGCCCTCGAAGAGCTTGGACACGGCGGCGTGGACTGGAACGTGCTTTGAAATGAATGGCCTGGCGGCGGTTGGAAAAACGCGGGGCTTGTGTACGTGCATGTGCACTGATGCACAATCAATCGTTGCTTGAATGTGTGCGTCTCCTCAGACCACAGTTTGCTAGCGGCTCGTGACTAAGTGAGGCGTGCCAGCACGCCGAGATTTCTGGGCCCGCGTTGTATTAGCCGCGGTACGTTAGAAATGTGCTTTGCTGTTGTGTGATTTTTTCCGTCTCGGGTTGAGTCGAACCTTTCGCTTGGTGTTGTTATTGCTGTATAACTGAGAGTGTTTGAATTGGCCGTATTCATCCAGAAAGCCGTTACGCTAGCGCTCGAGAGAAAATTGCTCGCTACTCTCAATGCCTCGGTCAGATATTTGGGCCTTTGGGGGCTCCTGCGGGGTACGGTGCTGCAGCGGGCACGCCTGGCTTAGTTATTTTTCCTCTGGTGTGTGTATTTGCACACGTGTACTGGCACGAACGGTCCAGTCGCGGGAGCCATTATGCTGCTGGACACCCCAAGTCACGGTGACAGCCAATATTCGAGAAAGAGCGCCAATGTCATATTCCTCGATTCCACAACGAGGTGCAACGGTTGAGTGTTTTGGTGCAGGCAGTCGCCCCCGTTCTGATACCCCAGCCAGCCACATCGTTGTGGGTCTGCATCCGGAGTTTATCTCTCTAGGATCCCTTTCTGGCCCGACCCGGTTGAGTCAGTGTTGATCGAACCACAGCTTCCACTATGTACGGCTCCTCAATCAGAGCGATGGTCGTGTAGTCCAGGAGAGTTTTTCCACGTCACACGGTGGTTCCCAAGAGATGATGGAAACGGCCGTTGCTGCGCTCGATACTACACTGTAGATGTACCAGCACATGTTCGGAAGCTCCTCATCCTTGCCTTTTTCTTAGCTCCTTGTGTTCCGTGGAAACGCACAGACTCCAGTGCCTGTGGAAATATCTGACTCCTCTAGACTACAAAAAATATCCACGTCGGACAAAGTATACCGAAACATTGAAATAGCACTTACGCTGACCCATGATTTCTCGGGAAAATATCGCGAGTGAACAAGGACGTGCATGGATCCGGTGGAAGGAAGGGGCACTAGGCGGGGGCTATACCTAAGGCCAGGGGTGGAAAGACTCATGCCCAAAACGTAGAGTGAAATCGGCCGACTACTTAACGGGATATCGTACACGTCAAGATGTGAAGGTACATGCGTACGAGCGTACGTACTACAGTGATAGGGCGGGGGGGGGCTGCGGTGCTTGCACTTCGGTTCCGGCGCCTGTTCCATTCTCTATGGCATCCAGAGGTGGAAACCATGGACAGATATACTCAAAGGTGCAACACGCGCGGCGCTCGCTGCTCGCCGCTCACACACATCGTACGAGACGAAACCGCCGCAATAAATGGCTCGCAACTTCTCGAAACCCCTTTGAATCTCTCCACCAATTTTTCGCCCTGCGCTGCTACGCTGTCGCTCTACAGCCGTACTAACTCCGCTGCCTTGCTCACTTCCTATCCCACCAGGACCGATCTTGCAACTAACAGAGAGGTATGATTGCAGCGAGGAGTTTCCGCGCTTTCTTTAGGTCGTATACCACACATTATCACCCTTCAAAGCTTCGTTGTTGAGCCACTCGCACGGTATGCGTCGGCAAAACCTGTACAGGTGTATGTAGCCCTGGCTTCAGATCTGATCATGGCGGGTGTCTCTGACTCTTTTCTATGATAGAGATGGACTCGTTGTGTCATATTAGGCTGTGTCTTATCAGGCCGAAAAAATACGTGACTTATTTTACCGAATAGTAACTGNGTCCCGACCAGGCGAGAGACCCGAGGACTCCCACAACAGACGTGATAAACCCACACCATGAACAACAACGCCGTAGCAGTGGCAGGCCGGCCATCAAGAACGAAAACGGTACCTCTGCGACTGCAGGGTGGAGGTGAAAGTGGTGCAGCTGCTGGGCATGGTGTTGCCCAGATCACGCCTGCTGGCGCCGTGCAGCTCCAGCCGGCACCGAGCGGCATGGTCCGCCAGGCCGTCCACAGCAGTATTACCCCCCATACCGATACACAACAGGGGGTGCCACCTGGTGCGGAGCTGATGCTGGTGCGGAGCTGATGCCGGGCATCGAGAAGGAAATGTTTGGCGACGAATAACACCCATATGCACTCCCGGAA